GCATAAAGACAGTACTAGTAATTAACAGTTTTTCTGAAAGTCAACTATAAAAGAATATAATTATACATATTTAATAAGATAAAGCTGACATCATATAAAATAAAATTGTGACTTTCTTTTAAGAAAAAAATGTACCGGTACTATTTTTAAAGCATTATATAAAGCGAGGTACGGTCATTTTGAGGACAGAATTACATCAAATTATGTTACTGAACAAAAACTGATTCCGATTTGGCTGAAATTACCTGAAACTAAAAATGAAATCATCCATTGTGCTAAAAAATAGGTTCAACATAACCAAGTTTCCACAAAAAATTTAGAACATGATTATCAAACATTTTCCACTTTCTATACACTCTAGCTTTAGTTAGTTTTCTTATTATGACCCAACTCATGCATGGTTATGATATTATATCAATCCCTTTTTATTTCACATTTACGAACACCAATTTCGAAATAAATCAAAGAAGGCATGAACGTATATGATATTGGAAGATACTCAGAGTACTCCATGCTCTGGATGAATTAATATTACGGTAGTTATAAAATTACATAGAATACCTGAGACTGTGCATGAATGGCAAATAAATAAATAAACTTGAAGATATATATCATACGGGTAATGCAAATAAATATGAATTGTACTTCAAATCCATATAATTGAGGTAAAAATGGCATTCCTACAATCATCACTGTATAGTACTAGGTTACCGGTACACATCCTAGGATTTGAAGGGCATGAAAAGTTCATACATCCTGGAACTTGGTTATGCAACTGAATTTACTTATAGGGCATCCAATTGCCACATAAAACAGACCGGATATTGAAGGTTTGACCCTGTAACAAATCTGAGAAGGCTAAAAATGGCAGGGATTTTACTTTGAGGTTTTTTCAAATGAATATTAAAGTAAGCGGTACAGATGTAGTTATGATGTAATTCATAGACTGTATTTTCTATACAGTCTATGAATAAATGGAGTATATTTCGCTAGCATCGCCAGCATGCTTCTGCTCTGAAAGCCTGGTAGTAACATGCAGTTCTCTTAGGCCCCGCAAGATGGTGAAATGTGATTGCCCAGAATTATCATGATGGCTGTCAATCAACCAATCGTAAATTGCACCTTTGATTGAACTTTTGAAAGTCATTTGCACATGTCCTTATTTGTAATATATGTGTTTCTTTGTCTTCAGCCAATCGCTCCATTCATGATACCCGTTTTTCGTCTGCGTCAATCTATTAACAGCCGCATCCAGCTTGTTAGAGTTACGTTTCAGGTACGTCTTTGAATCGTGTTGTAGCAGATCAATCTTTTCAGCCCTGTATTCGTCCAACTGTATATCTTCGCTGAGGTAAGGATTAAAACGGAAATATGTTCCAGTGGGCATCAAGTCAGACAACATTGTGTGTACAGCTATAAAAAAAAGAAATTGATTTGCTACTGAGTGACAAGATACATAATTTGAGTAAATAAACAAACAAACAAACGTTTATCTTATAGTATTTTATTATATGGGAACTAAGTTATA